AATGAACATAAATAAAAGTCATCGGCCAGGCCCAGTGGCTCATGCCTATAATCTCGGCTCCCTGAAAGGCTGAGGCAGGAGAATCACTTGAACCCAGGAGGCAGACACTGCAGTGAACTGAGATCGCATCATTGCACTCCAGCTTGGGCAACAAGAGCAAAACTCAAAAAAAAAAAAAAAATAGAAAAGAAAAGAAGTCAGCCTGGGCAACACTGCAAGGCCCCACCTCTACAAAAACCTTAAAAAAAAAAATTGGCCAGTCATGGTGGCACATGGCACATGCCTATAGTAGGCTGAGGCTGGAAGCCGCCTTGAGCCCAGGGGGCTGAGGGAGCTTTGTGGTGAGCTATGATCAAGCCACTATAAAGGCAGATAGTGTAGTGAGGATGTGAAGTAACTGGCATGAGAAACCCTGTACTCCTTACCACTCAACCATGGGCAAGAGACCCTGTTCTCAAAATAAATAAATAAATAATTTTAAAAATAAAAAGGCTGGACACAGTGGCTCATGCCTGTAATCTCAGCACTCTGGAAGGCCGAGGTGGGCGAATCTCCTTAGGTCAGGAGTTTGAGACCAGTCTGGACAACATGGTGAAACCCCGTGTCTACTAGTAATACAAAAATTAGCCAGGTATGGTGGTGCATGCCTGTAATCCCAGCTACTCGGGAGGGTGAGATAGGAGAATTACTTGAACCAGGAGGCAGAGGTTGCAGTTAGCCGACATGGTGCCACTGTACTCCAGCCTGGGCAAGACAGTGAGACTCTGTCTCAAAAAAAAAAAAATTATACTGTAGCTATTAACACTGCCTTTAATAAAAGGAAAATATGATTTATAGAACAAAAAAATCCTAACTCTCCACAGAAAGCAGTTTTGTCGATTCCAGAGAACCTCACAACCAAATGTTAAATGTTACTGTTGTACATTTAAGACTATATAAACTGAATCTATTTTCAGATTTGACTTCTCATTTAGCCACCCAAGACTCAAGAGCCTTACCTTATTTATTTCTCAGGCACCCGTCCACAACCTACCACTTAATCCCAAAGCACATACCTCAGCCACTTTTTTCATGGAGAAAGAAGGAGGGAGGGGAACATCAACTGTGGTGGGTTTCTTTTCTTTTTTCTTTTTTTTTTTTTTAACAGAGTCTCACTCTGACACCCAGGCTAGAGAGCAGTGGCAGGATCTCGGCTCACTGGCCTTCCTGTTCCAGCAAGTCTCTAGCCTCAGCCTCCTGAGTAGCTGAGATTACAGGCATGTACCACCACACCTGGCTAATTTTTGTTATTTTTAGTAGTTGGCTAGGCTGGTTTCAAACTCCTGATCTCAAGTGATCCGCCCCCCTCAGCCTCCCAACGTGCTGGCATGAGCCACCTTGCCTGGCCTAACTGTGATATTTTGATTACCTCTTCTCAAAACACCCTGGTCACATAGCAAGAGAAGCTGGAGACAGGCAGGAAGTCAAAATGCCAGCTATTGATGGTTGCCATCTTTGTCTCAAGAGAAGTGGTTCAACAGTCCTCTGTATGGCTGAATCTATGCATCAGTAGGGATTTCAGCAACCTTTTTAAGATGCAGTAGTATGGTAATTTTACCTCAAATGAATCATTAGGACCAAGCAAATAGAGTAAATAAACTTTATTAATTGTTGGATTAAGTCCTAAAGCTTCAGAGGAATGGGAGTACTTCATATGCTCTGGAAAGATAAGATTCGGCAAAGAGACTAGAACTCATAGCTATTTTTTTGCAATAGCAAAGAAACTATGCTACACTTCGAAGAGAAAGAAAGCCAGAAGGAAAAGTATCAATGAAGAAGAATCGGATACCAAACAATACTCTTCCAGAGGATTTGATTAGTCATATTTAACTATTCAAACAAGGGCAACTTCGGAAACAGCACATTAGGAAGATTTTAATACCCTAAGCAGTTATCTCTCAGAAGGAAGATTTGGATGTAAGGAATAGTCTAGTAAGATCTCTACACACTAAACCATCCCTGACAAAAAATCATTTTCTAATTACCAGAGGAGAAACCAAAAATAAAGGGAAATGCCCTACAGAGAAGCAGTAAATAGAATGGAATCACTGGGCAAACCAACATAAACAGAGTAGCCAAGCAACTCAATCCATAAAGAAAACTAGAAAGAAGGGTACCAAAGAAATGAAAAACCACAGCAAAAAAGTGAAAAATACCAAATGAGAAACCTGGAAGAAACACTGTACTGTGAGAGGGGATATTCACCTCAAATCTCACAACATTAACAGAAAATGCCACAGAAATGGAACTTCTTGACTACCTAACTACTTTACATAAAGACTTTCCTTCTGCAACTATATCCATGTTTATTTATTCATTTGAGACACAGTCTTGCTCTGTCGCCCAGGCTGGAGTGCAGTGGCACTATCTTGGTTCGCTGTAACCTCTACCTTTCAGGTTCAATGGATTCTCCTGCTTCAGCCTCCCAAGTAGCTAAGACTATAGGCACACACCACCACACCGGCTAATTTTTTTTTTTTTTTTTTTGAGACGGAGTTTCACTCTTGTGGCCCAGACTGGAGTGCAATAATCTGATCTTGGCTCACTGCAACCTCTGCCTCCTGGATTCAAGCAATTATCCTGCCTCAGCCTCCCAAGTAGCTGGGATGCGCCACTACACCAGGCTAATGCTGTATTTTTAGTAGAGACAAGGTTTCTCCATGTTGGTCAAGGTGGTCTTGAACTCCCGACCTCAGGTGATCCGCCCACCTCGGCCTCCCAAGTACTGGAACTACAGGCATGAGCCACCGAGCCTGGCCCTAATATTAGTAGAGACGGGATTTTGTCTTCTTGCCCAGGCTGGACTAGAACTCCTGAGCTCAGGCAATCTGCCCACCTTGGCCTCCCAAAGTGCTAGGATTACAGGCGTGAGCCACTGCGTTCAATCCATTCATTTACTTTTTGAGACAGTGTCTCGTTCTGTTGCCCAGACTGAAGTACAATGGGGAGATCTTGACTTAATGTGGCCTCCACCCCTCGGGCTCAAAGTGATTCTCCTATCTCAGCCTCCCAAGTAACTGGGACTACAGGTGGGTGCCACCAGGCCAGCTAATTTTTTTCTGTTTTTTGTAGAGACAGCGTTTTGCCATGTTGCCAGGACTGGTCTCCAACTCCTCTGAGTTCAGGTGATCCACCCATCTCAGCCTCCCAAAGTGCTTGGGATTACAGGCGTGAGCCTTACCTGGCCTGTTATTTCTAATAGACAATTACATTTACCAAATAGTTGTACTGTGTACGGTAGTGAAATATGAATGCTATGCTTCAGTTTGACATAGATGATTAACGATGTCTAGTGTCTTCAATGATTTGATCCTACAGATTCTTTCCACCAAGACAGTGTCCTAACATTTCTGGGTCTCAATTTCTTAGCTATAAAATGTAGGAGCCAATGGCCATGTGCGGTGGTTCACACCTGCATCTGAGCACTTTGGGAGGCCGAGGCGGGTGGACAATGAGGTCAGGAGTTCGAGACCAGCCTGACCAACATGGTGAAACTCCATCTCTACTAAAAAAATACAAAAATTAGCCAGGCATGGTGATGCGCACCAGTAATCCCAGCTACTCAGGAGGCTGAGGCAGGAGAATCGCCTAAACCCGGGAGGCTGAGGTTGCAGCGAGCTGAGATCTTGCCACTGCACTCCAGCCTGGGCAACAGAGCAAGACTCAGTCTCAAAAATAAATAAACAAAAATTTAAAAATGTGGGAGTCAAAGCAGATGAGATGAACTACAGGATCCACTCCAATCTTGAAATTTTACACCTAATTATAAAATCGTCAGTAAGGTAAGTTATGAGCATAAAATGTGAATCGGAAAACAAAACATTTAAGTTCATCCTGTCATTCCAGAGCTAACCACAGGGATGAGCGAGGGATCTGAAACAATTCCCAAAGGAGACAGTATTTGGCTGTTACCTGTCTGTTACCTGAAGCCCACCTGGTAGGTGAATAAACCCTTAGTCCCAGACAGAGTACTTCTCTGGCCCCTTTGCCTGCACTTAAGAATACTCTTCACAAAGACACAGTTAACCTGTCTTCCTCCCTTTCCTCCCTGCAGTTTTCCCTGTTCTCTTTGGTAGTTTCACATCAATTTTTCCCTAATACTACTACGTCCCCCCTACCCCAGATTTTTCATTTTCCCCTTTTATCCAGAGTAAAATCTTCTAGAAAAGTTATTTGTAGGTTGGGACGAAAAAAATGGATGAAATGACTTAAAATCAAAGAAACTATACTACAACTATTACAGGCAAATGACAATTACTGGTTAAGTTCTAGAGAAATCCTAAGAGAGAAAGAAAACCAAGAATAATAAAAAGGAAATTCTAGGGACTGACATAATTCAAGTTTTCCAAAGTTAGTAAAAGGCCCTGAAAATAGAGCAAATGAGTGACAACTCCTGGAGGTTGGGTCCAGCCTCTGAAATTAACATGCAATGGCCCAAGGCCAGGCAACCAGGTGTTTAGAATGTGAAACAGACTCTGCCCGGGCTTCCTTTCACCGTCAAACTCCGGGCCAAAAGAGGCTTCCCACATCACATATTTTAAAAATGAAAATTTAAAAAGTTCTTCACATCTAATTCACCTCTCCCCTGAAAAATAAATGAATAAATAGTTCCTCTTTCCGTTTTTACTCCCACACTAAACCTCACACCGTTGATGAGCCTGGAGAGCGGGGTTGGCACGAGAGGATGGCGCCAAAGCTCGGGGAGAGGGCGGTCAGTGGGCGGAAGGTGCCTCTCCCCACATGGCCGAGCCCTCGCCGCCACTGGCCACCGCATACGGTGCCCAAGCATCGGCAGCTCCCTCTCGGCCCCGACCCCGCTATCTCTGTCGCCCCGCAGACAGCCGCTGCGGCCGCAGGCTCCCGATTGGGACCCTTCCCAGGGGAGGACCCCATCCCCCGCTCCCTTTCTCCGTCAGATTCCCGCCCTGCAGCGGCCAGCCTATGAGCCCCTGCCTCCTCACCTCCATGGAGACGCGCCAGCCTTGCATGGCGGAGAAGCCGTAGGGCAGCGGCAGGCGCGGGGCGCCGACCCCGTCCCCGGAGCACTTCACCGTGTTGGGCTGCGAGAGGTAGGCACCCATGGCGGCGGCTGGCCGGCGGCCTCAGAGGGCGGAAAGCTGGGCGCGACCCGTGCCGGAGCCTAAGCCCCGAGGGCGCGCGCGCGGCAGGAGCAGGCCCGGCGGCGCGACCGACGCAAGGTGCCGGTGAAAGGCGCGAGGCCGGCCAGGAGGCGGTAACGGGACGGGAGCAGAGAGAGAGAGCGGAAGCGGAAACGGCGCCGCTCCAGACCCCGCCCGGCCGGTGCGGCGGGGACAGGCGCTGAGGGCAGTCATTTCCTTAGCAACTCGCCCCGCCCGCTGGGGCAACGGCCCGCCCAACGGCCGCTCCCGCGAGACTGGCACGACCACGCCCACCAACGGTCGCGGTCCTCCTTGGCGGCCTCGTGCAGGTTATCGGCCGTCTCTCACTGCACCCTCTCCTTCCTTCCGTGTCCCCAACCTCTTGGCGTTTTGTCCGCACCTCTTTTGTGTCGGACTCCACGCTTCCGGCCCGTCCTCCAGTGTGTTCTTCCCCCTCTCCCCAACGTCGCGCCCTCAGACTCCTCAAACCCCGCCCGCATTGGTTCAATTAAAGTTGACCAGTATTTGTTCTGAGCTTAGGAAGTACTTTGGCCAGGCCCTGCGAGGCCTGTAGGAAAAGAATGTGAGTCTTTCCTGGCAAAGCGAAGAACTCGATCTGTGACATAATTCGAATTAATACAATGTAGAAATGGTTGGCACAGCCTATTCTGGGTGAGAAAAGCTCCAAGGATGGGAGGAGGAGCAGTTCCTTGTAGGACTGAAAGGATGTTGTAGACCCTCAGAGAGGATGCCTCTGGACTGCATTAGGCCACGGGAAAAGGGAATCATGTTACAAGGTTTGGAGGAGTGAGGAAAGAATGTAAACTGCATTTGGGGAGAATTTTTGAGGAAGCTGGCTGGCCTCGGAAAATGATTCTAAATGGTAATGTTAGCTAGCTAGCTTGATTAAAAGAAGCGCCAGGATTGGTGACTTGGACTTGATTGTCATCCTGGTGTAACCTTTGCATCGTTGGTCTAGTCTTTGTATGCAGTGTACATTGGAGGGAGAGAGTCAGGGGGACTGTTACTGGTTAGAGAGCTCTTAATCTAAGCAGCAGATGAGAAGAGCTGGGAGTAAGATGGTACCAGACAGGGTGGCAGTGGGAATCCAGATGAAAGGACAAATTAGACAATAACAAAACAGATTTGGTAATAGATTGGATTCAAGGGATGGAGAGAAAAGAAGAAATTCTCCAAACTATGGCAAAAATTTATTCTTTTCGGCTGGGCACGGTGGCCATACCCCTAATCCCAGCACTTTGGGAGGCTGAGGCAGGCATATCACTTGAGGCCAGAAGTTTGAGACCAGTCTGGCCAACATGTAAAACCGAGTCTCAACTAAAAGTACAAAAATCAGCCAGGCGTAGTGGCGCACACCTGTAATCCCAGCTACTTGGCAGGCTACGGCAGGAGAATCACTTGCACCCCGGAGGCAGAGGTTGCAGTGAGCCCAGATCCAGCCTGGGTGACAGAGCAACTACGTCTCAAAAAAAAAAATGCCGGGCCCGGTGGCTCAAGCCTGTAATCCCAGCACTTTGGGAGGCCGAGGCGGGTGGATCACGAGGTCAAGAGATCAAGCCGGGCGCGGTGGCTCAAGCCTGTAATCCCAGCACTTGGGGAGGCTGAGGTGGGTGGATCACGAGGTCGAGAGATCGAGACCATCCTGGTCAACATGGTGAAACCCCGTCTCTACTAAAAGTGCAAAAAAATTAGCTGGGCATGGTGGTGCGTGCCTGTAATCCCAGCTACTCAGGAGGCTGAGGCAGGAGAATTGCCTGAACCCAGGAGGCGGAGGTTGCGGTGAGCCGAGATCGCGCCATTGCACTCCAGCCTGGGTAACAAGAGCGAAACTCCGTCTCTTGATTCTTTAAAAACATAAAACTCAGGCCGCGCACGGTGGCTCAAGCCTGTAATCCCAGCACTTTGGGAGGCCAAGGCGGGTGGATCACGAGGTCGAGAAATCGAGACCATCCTGGTCAACATGGTGAAACCCCGTCTCTACTAAAAATACAAAACATTAGCTGGGCATGGTGGCACGTGCCTGTAATCCCAGCTACTCAGGAGGCTGAGGCAGGAGAATTGCCTGAGCCCAGGAGGCGGAGGTTGCAGTGAGCCGAGATGGCGCCATTGCACTCCAGCCTGGGTAACAAGAGCGAAACTCCATCTCAAAACCAACCAACAAACAAAAAAACATAAAACTAATCATGGCTTCCTCATGCTCTTCAGATAGTCCAAATTCTTTAACATAGTTTAGAAGACCCTTCATGCTAATTATCCAGATTCTTATATGTCTCCCCATTTCTCCTACAGCTCTGCTTCAGCAATGTTTTGGGTGTGTCTAAAGTCATGCTTTCTCTTACACTTTTGCCCATGAAGCACAACTCTTCCCCCAACCCTCTTGACCATCACTTTCTCCAGGAAGTCTTCTCTAATATCTCTATACTAGTTTGGGTCCACATTTGTTTGTCTTTCCTGCTATAAGCCTTTATGAAGGCAGAAATTCCATTAACCTTACCATTGTGTTCTCATTTCTTACACAGTTGTATGTGCTGCATAATATTTAAATATTTGTTGAACGAATAACACCAAGATTTTGACTCTGTAACAAAACTTGAAGCCATTAACAGAAAAAGGTGCAGTTTGGGGGGATGCTAGTTTTGGGGGAAAAACTGGTTCCATTTAGGGTGACAACTTGATATAACAACATTGAAAATATTAGCTTGGAGTTAAGCCATGAGGGTGGAAAAGATGTTTATTGGCTTGCACGTTTCCAGGAACCTAGATGAGATCTCAGCCTTGGTTGCAGTGAGCTGATATCTTGCCACTGCACTCCAGCCTTGGTGACAGAGCGAGACCGTGTCTCAAAAAACAAAGGAACAAAGTAACAACAAAAATTACTCAGCCTCTTCTTTCTTCGCCTCCTGCTCCTCCTTCTTTCTTTTTTTTTTTGTTTGAGACAGACTTTCACTCTTGTTACCCAGGCTGGAGTGCAATGGCGCGATCTCGGCTCACCGCAACCTCCGCCTCCTGGGTTCAAGCAATTCTCCTGCCTCAGCCTCCTGAGTAGCTGGGATTACAGGCACGTGCCACCATGCCCAGCTAATTTTTTGTATTTTTAGTAGAGACGGGGTTTCACCATGTTGACCAGGATGGTCTCGATCTCTTGACCTCGTGATCCACCCGCCTCGGCCTCCCAAAGTGCTGGGATTACAGGCTTGAGCCACTGCGCCCGGCCCTCCTTCTTTCTTATAAGAGATGAGGTCTTGGTATGTTGCTGAGGCTAGTCTTGAACTTCTAGGCTCAAGCAATCCTTTCATTTTAGCTTCCTAAATAGCTGGGACCACAGGCATGTGCCACTGTACCTGACTTCTTTTTTCTTTCTTTCTTTTCTTTTTTCTTTTTGGCTTTTGTTTTTTTTCCTAAGAATGAAATTTGACATTGTTTAAAGAGCGTGAGTTTTGCCATGTATTACCTATAAGATCTTCTTTCACAAATTACTTATTCCCTCTCAGGCTGAGTCCATTTGCAAGACGGACATTCAACATCTACTCTTCCAGATTGCTTTTTTTTTTTTTTTTTGAGACGGAGTTTCGCTCTTATTACCCAGGCTGGAGTGCAATGGCGCGATCTCGGCTCACCGCAACCTCCGCCTCCTGGGTTCAGGCAATTCTCCTGCCTCAGCCTCCTGAGTAGCCGGGATTACAGGCACGCGCCGCCATGCCCACCTAATTTTTTGTATTTTTAGTAGAGACGGGGTTTCACCATGTTGACCAGGATGGTCTCGATCTCTTGACCTCATGATCCACCTGCCCCGGCCTCCCAAAGTGCTGGGATTACAGGCTTGAGCCACCGCGCCTGGCCTCCAATTGCTTTAAGGATAAGAGGAATTGAATATAAAGTATTGGCCGGGCATGGTGGCTCACACCTGTAATCCCAGCACTTTCAGAGGCTTGGGGGGAGGTGGCAGATCACAAGATCAGAAGTTCGATACCAGGCTAGCCAATACGGCAAAGCCTGGTCTCTACTGAAAATACAAAAATTAGCTCAGCGGGCCGGGCACAGTGACTCAAGCCTGTAATCCCAGCACTTTGGGAGGCCGAGGCAGGTGGATCACAAGGTCAAGAGATCGAGACCATCCTGGTCAACATGGCGAAACCCCATCTCCACTAAAAATACAAAAAATTAGCTGGGCATGGTAGCACGTGCCTGTAATCCCAGCTACTCAGGAGGCTGAGGCAGGAGAATTGCCTGAACCCAGGAGGCAGAGGTTGCGGTGAGCCGAGATCGTGCCATTGCACTCCACCCTGGGTCACAAGAGTGAAACTCCATCTCAAAATAAATAAATAAATAAATAATAATAAAAATAGCCGGGCGCGGTGGCTCAAGCCTGTAATCCCAGTACTTTGGGAGGCCGAGGCGGGTGGATCACGAGGTCAAGAGATCGAGACCATCCTGGTCAACATGGTGAAACCCCGTCTCTACTAAAAATACAAAAAATTAGCTGGGCATGGTGGCTCTTGCCTGTAATCCCAGCTACTCAGGCGGCTGAGGCAGGAGAATTGCCTGAACCCAGGAGGCGGAGGTTGCAGTGAGCCGAGATCGCGCCATTGCATTCCAGCCTGGGTAACGAGCAAAACTCCGTCTCAAAAAAAATAAATAAATAAATAAATAATAATAATAATAAATTAGCTCAGCATGGTGATGGAAATCCATAACCCCAGGAGGCAGAGGCAAAAGAAACACTTGAATCTGGGAGAAGGAGTTTGCAGTGAGCTGAGATCGTGCCACTGTACTCCAGCCTGGGATTCAGAATGAGACTCCATCTCAAAAAAAAAAAGGGGTGGGGAGGTGGGGCAGAGGTGGTGGCTAACCCCTGTAATCTGTAATCTAAGCACTTTGGGAGGCCAAGATGGATGGATCACTTGAGGCCAGAAGTTTGAGACCAGCCTGGCCAACATGACAAGACCGGGTCTCTACTGAAAATACAAAAATTAGCTGGACATTGTGGCGTGCACCTGTAGTCACAGCTACTCAGGAGGCTGAGGCACAAGAATAACTTGAACCTGGGAGGCAGAGGTTGCAGTAAGCTGAGATTGGGCCACGGTACTTCAGTGTGAACAACAGAACAAGACTGTCTCAAAAACAAACAAAAGTAAAAAATAAATAATACAAGAATTTGATTTGAACATAATTGAACACAGTTGTGGCTATCAAAGAATATTAGGTGAATTAAGATTTAATTGGGCT